TTGATTTTGAATGTAAATATAAATATATTTATTATTGATAATTTTTTTATTACTCTGTCCCTTCAGGCACATGTAATATATAGTATCTCTAAATTATAACTTTAGTATTGCTTCTTTTGTTCAATGTAATTAACAAATCACTAATGTTATTAGGATATAATTTAAAGACATAATATATTGTGACCATTGAATTGATAGTAACTTTTAATACAGGGGATCCACTGATAACCTAATTAGTAATGCTATATTGACCGAATAAAATGACTAAATAAAGAGTCCAAATGAGGTGACATGGAAGGTTGATTAGGCAAACTTAGTATTTCACTAAACCTATAAATTTTCTCCCAAAATTCAAGCCCCAAATTAAGAAGATATATGGCAAAATCTGCGAGAAAAACAAAAGGTTGATTTTTCTTTTTATTGCAATGATTAGGGATATTAATCGAGCTGAGCTTCGCGAGCTTGAGCCCGAGCCTGTCGAGTTGATTCTTTTAAAAACGCCTAAAAATTTATTCAAATTCAGCTTGTTTAGAACCTGAGCCTAGATTGAACCCAAGTTGAGTCTTAGTAGCTCGACTATTTTATATATAAATGAGCTGAACTTTGCGAGTTTGGGTCGAGCCTTTTAGGTTTGTTTTTCTAAACGATCCTAAAAAATTATTCAAAAAAAAATGAGTCCAAAACATTATTCAAGTTCAATTTATTTAAAATATGAGCTTGAATTCAAGCTGAATCCTATCCAAATCGAACTCGATTAAATCATCTTGATTAACAACCATATCAAGTTGGAGGGAGAAGATTTGATCCATGCACGTTGCGCACTCAAATGGGGAGGCTTTGTCACGCGCGCGCGCGCACACACACATACATATATATATATATATATATTGAAGGCACATAAGGAGACCGGTACATATAGGGACAAACTCAATCGAAAATGGGATCAAATGTATTGGTCCCATCACATCAAATGGGTCTAGATTAGAAGAAGACGTTCACCTTAGAAAACGAAAAAGATTGGAAAAAAGCCCACACGATAGGTATTGGATTCGACGCGGTTATACATAAAGCCCATACAAAATCACCTATATGGCCCAATGAAGTTAATCCCAATCCGGCTTTGGATTCGGCTAGTTCAAATTACAAGACAAATAGTTTTTTTTTTTCGATAAGTTCTTTCTAAATATAATTAAATCTAATTTAAAAATAATTCATACCCAAAAAATTGAGAGTCCCAAATTTATTATTAAATAGCTCTAGATGGACTAAGAAATTGACTACTTGAGAATTCATCACTAAGTTATGGTGTTCAGTTATTAAAAGATGATTTTGGTTTTTGTTTAAGAAAAAATTTAAATTCGATTTAATGCGAGTATGGTCTGTCACCAAAAAAAAACAAAAAAAAGCCCTCAAATCTGAGTGCATTTAAGATCAAAATCAATCATTAAAAGCTATGAAACTTGACTTTTCTTCCCATCAAATTGGCCAAATTTGAAAGAGAGAAAGTTGCGGGGTAAAAAGAGTCAAAAATCTTGCAATTTAAAAAGCCAGACTTCACTCACCAAAAAAAAAAAAAACAGAAAAAAAATTTCAGTTACTCCCCTTTTAGTTTATCATATCTTCAAAGATATTTTTCTGTTATTCAAAACATCATTAACACTGCTTCTAGTTTATATTTAAACATTATTACACCCCTTGACATTAAAGAAGCATTTCTAACCAAAAAAACAAAAAATCTAAATTATCAAAATTGCCCCTATAAAATCCCAAATAATTTTTCCACACAAAATTCAATTAAAATTGGATCTAATTAAAATTTATTTTTTATATATTAAAATTTGAGCTGACTAAAATTTATTTTTCTACATATTAAAATTTGAACCAATTAAAATTCGATTCGAGCAGATTAATTTTTTAAGTATTAAAATTATAGCCTATTAATTTTTTTTACGCATTAAAATTCGAGCCGATTTGAGCTCAACTTGAGCTTTAGCGCCAATTAAAATTCAATTCAAGTAGATTAAAATTTATATTTTTTTACTTATTAAAATTCTTACCAATTAAAATTCGATTCAAATTGATTAAAAAAATTTTGACGTATTAAAATTTGAATCGATTAAATATTTTTTTACGAATCAAAATTTATACCAATTAAAATTCAATGCGAATTGATTAAAATTTTAATCTATCAGAATTTTAATCGATGATGTCTCATTGAAGATATGTCCGTGGATGAAATTTTTCTTAAAATATATAATAGACAATTTAGTATAATTGTATTCTATGATAAATTAAAAAGAGAGTGACTGATGGAAATTTTTCCCAAGGCTAATGGAAATTTCGAAAAACAACCAAGGGCAAAATTGGGATCTGTGGATAACAAAAAATAACGCCTCTATTGGGTTTTCAGCCATCTCCTGGCTTTCAACGTTATGGACTTTTCTTACTCCACAAAGAAAGTTCAACTGACTTTTGCCCGTGCAAGACACTTCCATGTGAACAAACCCAAATTCCAAAACACACACACACACACACATATATGTATACATATAACAATTGTCTTCATTTTCAAATTCAGCAGTCTCAAATTGCTGATATGAAAGCCCGTTGCATATAAGAGGAGGTTCTCTCACACAATCCATGGCTCTCTAATTTCATCCAATTCCTTTTGGATCGCCACAGAAAAGGTAAATTTACAGTTAATGTTTGTTCAATTGTAAGTAGCGAATACTATGACTATCCTTAAGATGGCATTGTTTAAAGGTAAGACTACTTACTGCTCATGCATGCATGATATTCTTCTTGTAACCGACCTCAAAGGTATTGGAATAAGGCTTTGTTGAGTTGAATTGTAAGACCTTCATTAATAAGGAAAGAGAGATTGAAGCTTGAACTCGGGTTGAAAACCTAGTAGAGATAAAAGACTGCACTTACCAACAAATTGGGCTAAGACTTTCTCTTCATATTAGGCCTAAAGTATTTAGAATAACATGTTTGGCATGTTTCTAATGTCTAAACTAGGTTCTTGTTAAAAAAGATAAATTTTATGATGTTCACTTATAGGAACAATGCATCTTTCTTTGTTAGCGGAGGAGAGAGCTATGAGTATGTTCCGTCATTTCCACTAGAATAGATAAATTAATCAGGCTTTTAACCCTCAACCAAAAGACGTGGTTTGCTTTCTCTTGAAACGAAAAGGAAGAACCACTAGGAAGCGATTTTTTTTCTAGAAAACTTCAAATAATTTCATGTTTCTTGCTGCTTGTTTTCTTTCTTTTGGGGGAATTTCACATTGACTTTTGTTAAACATTCTTGCACTACAACATATATTTGCATTCTCTAAATATGCTGTATCAGCCTGAGTTTCTAAGTAAATTTCATTGATTTTAGGGAAAAAGGCATGATACTGTACCACTCCTGTGGTCGGAATCGTAGACTGGAAGTGTTTAAGGCACTTCAACTAGCTCTGCTTTTAGCAATCAGCATTTGGTTGTTATTCCATATCAGATATCTGCGTGAGAAGCCTATGAGTTGTGGTGGGAATATGCTAATATTGCTCATGGGACGCAAAGGAAATGTTGGCCTCCAAGTTGGGAATATATACTCTGATGGGGGTGGGATAAGAGAAGTTGATCAATGGAGAGAAGCGCGCTTGGTCGAGGGTGACGTAGAAGAAGAAGAGTCAGCACACAATGGGAGTGAATATTCTTGGGGTGTTAACAACGTAAGAAATGTCGAAAAAGGGCATGAAATGGAGCAAGAAAGAGCATCGAAGAATGAAGGAGCAGAACATGAATCCGACAGGGGAAGTGTGGCTTGCTGTTTTCATGATGAAACCGGAGTTCCACCTGACTTCAATTAGCTGGAACGTTGCAACACCATGAGAGCTCGTTGGATTAACAATGGATCCTGACTATTAAATGAAATTGTTAAAGATCACTAATTCAGTTAATTAGATCGTCAGTTGTTGTCTCCCTATTTCCCTCGTACAATATTTCTCAAGACTAATGCTACATAGATTTATTGACCTAATTTATTGTTGGATTAACTAGAAAATTCAATGCTAAATCAGACCCGGTATTGATCCAATAACTGTAATGAATTAAATCAAAAAATTAAGTCAAGCAGGGTTGCAAGCAAATAGAGGTGCACGTGCATCACTATTGTTGAGATGGGTAATGAACAGCCCCAATCAAGTCCATTCAATGAGCACCCAAGCTCCCTAGAAAAGGTTGGTCCAAAAGAGAAAAAAATCTCTGTAAGGAACAAAAACCCAAGATTGACACCCCCATTTTCTAATTCAACCCAATGAAACACCACACCGACCCATGCGGCTAAGGTCACCTATGCGCCCTTGCTGCATCCCCCATTGGCAATTTGGCATGCACCAGCGCACTTGGGTTGGTGTGTTCATGGACATGTCTACCGTTAGATAAGATGGCTAGGGCGTTGCAAGAAACAGAGCACAATATTTTACACACAGCAGAAGCACAGCAAACACTGTCATCGGTCCTGGCCAGTTTGTCAAGGTTTCATACCAAAAATATGAACAAAATAGAAAAGGTCAGTCTTTAAGAGTTGCGCCTTTTCTAGTCTTGTCTAGTGTTGTTGATCCTTAAACATAAACTTAGACGAACGACCAATTGATAAACATAAAGCAAATGCAATGGGGATTCTCTTCTTCGTTCAACACTTTCCACGCTACAGCCCTTTCATAAGAAACTGGCCTGCCCATGCTCGATAAGCATATGCCACCTTGAAGACAAGCAAAACCCTGCCAACAAAAAACCACCAGCCTGATTAGATAGTAGTCAATATTGCCTACTCTGTGCTTGGTGGTGTTAAGAAAGTGAATCTCATGCTAATCCAATTAGTCTCCCAAAGAAGAAATAGATACATATTCACCCAGGAAAAATAAAAATAAAACAATAACAATGAGAATCATGGAAACAAAAATCCAAATGTGCATTGACATGTAATGAACTTGAATCATTTTGATTACGCTTGAAATTACGCAATTTCATAAATGCCATTAACATTCTATTTATAATTGTAATTCCCATTGCAATGACTCATAATGGATGTTTTTTTTTCCTCCCAGAGTCACTCTCTTCCCCTAAACATGACTGTATGCATAGGAGTACGTGTATGCCCCTGTACATGTGTCTTAACCCTCTGTGTATACCATTTTCGGAAAATAGTCATCAAATGCGCAAGTACTTTTTTACTTTAGATTTAAGCAAAATGCAAAACACATATTAACAGATACTACTTCTTAACTTATTCAGAGTGCTTTTTACAAGTATTAACTTTGCCTTAACTAATTTATTTTGATTGTTCCGTAAGGAAATGGCTAACCTGCTGCATTATCAATGGGAACTCAGAGCAGAGATTTTTTCTTCCATGGTCATCAAAGATCTTTTCCAAAGTTATATCTTGAAGTGCAACCAATGTTGTCTCAAGCATATCAAGACCAGCCTGGTTTGCAAAAGTGAATACTGGCAAGGCCTGCATTAATTTGAACTCAAGTTAACAGAAATGGTAGTGTGCTATTATAAGAATAAAGATCTCTGGAAGTTTAGCTTAAAATGGTCATGTGGTCATAAAGCATTTAGCAGCCCCCTTTTTGAATTTTAGTGGCCTATGAGTTAGGAAGCATGGACTGATACATGGTTTCACCTTTGAAACAAACAAGATTTCTAATCGACCATGGCAAGCATAAGCATGGGACAGAATACAAAGGAATATGAACTGTTTTGCATTATATATTTATGTTACTGGTAAACTGCTTCTCTTCATGAAAATGTTTTCACATACAGAAGAATGTCTTCTCACATACAAAAGGAAAAGAAATTTTGTTTTAAGCATGACCAGGGAAAACCAACTGCAATGATAAGAAAAGAGAAAAACTGAAAAAAACCAATGCATGTTCAAGTCAAACAAGTCATTACGTGTGTTATATCTGAAGATGGACTTTTGCGAATCATGGGTTTTCTGATCTCAGAGACAAAATGCTGAACTCAACAAAAAAGTGTCTGGCTCCCACTATGGGTTCTTTTCTACCCCCCAACCAACTGGAATGATAAGAAAAGAGAAAAACTGAAAAAACCAATGAATGTTCAAGTCAAACAAGTCATTACACAGTGTTATATCTGAAGATGGACATTTTTCTGATCTCAGAAACAAAATGCTGAACTCGATAAAAAAGTGTCTGGCTCCCACTATGGGTTCTTTTCTACCCCCCTCCCCCCCCCCCCCAACTTAGCTATATTCATACCTGCAGAAGTGTCGAAACAGTTTTTTTTTAAGAAATTATAAAAAGCTTTGAGGTTCAGTTTGACAAAACAGAATTTTCATTAAGAAATTATAAAAAGCTCAAAAAATGAATTGAATTTATCCCCAAAGGATGGTTTACTGACTACTACATACATGCTTAGTTATTAAGCATTGGGCTCCAGATGTAAATGCCATGGGCTATCAAGGGAAGGAAAAAATAACAAGATATAATAAATGCACTAGGATTTTCTATCCTACACGTAACTCTTAACTTTGTAAGACCAATCCTGACTTCCACAATTGACAGTTTCATTGTTCTACAATAGGAAAACAATTCAAATTTCTATGTATATGTATATTTGCAAGGCATGTGTGCAACAATGCATCATAGCTTGCACACCCATGCATGTGTGTGTGAGAGACAAAGAGGGGTAAGAGCTTAAAGTGCACACCTTCAAAGAGCAGCACATAATAGCATCTGAGTGATGCCATAGAGTTTTAAGGATGGAATCACTTCCTTCACCGCTGGATTTGAGTAGTTCGACCCCCAGATAGCACCTACAAAAGAAAAAGACAGCACAAAGCACAAAGCTATTTCAAAAGGGGTCCATTAACTACTAGAGATCATTCCCCACTAGTATAATAAATCAGTCTTGACACAAAGATTCCGCAAGAGGAACATAAAGTGTAGTTAGTATATCCTCCATAAGCATTCAGATGTGTAAATACAAAAAACCTTCCATGTTCTATACTGGGTTGAAATTTTTTTTAAAAAAAATTGCTTTCTTTTTTAATCTGAACCTTACAATACACCTACGGAACATTTCACATATTTTATGTCCTGAGTTATTCATTGTATTTTTCATGAAAATAATCCCATAATACATGCCTGGTATAACGTACCATCTTATCTTTTTCCCATCTATAACCACATCTGATGGAAAGACTTTCTAAAAGGAAATGTGGATTTTTCTGATATCCTAGATGGGAAACAGCAAAATTTGAAAAAGGAACAAGATGTTCATCTTACCAATTTCGAGCAAGAAATTTACTATTTATGAGAGGATAAAACAACCTAAAATTAGAAATTTCAATGATTATTCCCTTGTGTACCCAAAAAAAGAAAAAAATACGAAGGCAAAGAGTTGCATATAGATGACCAAATTTTACACAGGAGAGAATCTCAGAGATTGTCAACAGCATCTAAATCTTTGTTTGCCAAATTATGCCATGGTTTCCACAAAACACCCTAATGCACAAGCATTGGCCCAAAATAGATCATATTAGTCATGGAGATATCTATGGTCAAAAACTCAAATGATGCACCTGTAACTGTGGCAGATCCACCGAGCAAGTGTATGTGCTTCAGGAGTGCCTAGGGGAGGTCGAAGACCCCCATGGGCACTTAGATGAGATGGAGAGAGTGCTAATGCCACCCTCTGAACAGCTGATATAATGCTGCGGACGTATTGTCGGGCCATTGAAGCAACACTGTCTTGCATGTGGATCTCAAAAGCATATTCAAATGCTATTGTCATCACAGATCTTGTACTGCCGCTCATAACATTATGATCATTAGAAGTCTTGTTTCCTGCAGACCCAATCTCAAGAGCCGAAGCAAGATCTAGGGTGCGATTTGGACTGGAAGCTTCCTGCATAATATTGCAAATCATCAAATTAATAGAAGCCAAAGTAATACGCTGAGCCTGTGATATAATGCTATCCCATGTCGGAAAATTAAGAGGACCCAAGGCTGGTTTAAATACTTGAGAGGCCACTCCATTCATTGCCAATTGGTTTTGGGATGGATCCTCTTATAGGATACAACAATTCACAGCATAATATGAATACTAACCTTTCCAGAATCAAGAGGAATAATGCGAAAACCGGAAGGCAGAAGAGGTGCATCATCGGCGAAAGAGGCATCGATGGGCGCAAATATTAGTTCTGCACAAGTACCAATGGCATTTTCATCCATTCCACTGCATAGCTGTGAAAATAAATAACAGGAGCATTCAGGAAAAATGTTAACAGCATAACAATGAGAAATATCAGAAAAGCTTGAACTTCCCAAATAGGTTTACTAGAAGTGAGAGACAAAAATTGAAAAAAATAAGTCCGGATTTTCCTGAGAAAAAAAAAAAAAAAATTATTTCCCTGCCCATGACTAAATCAGAAAATAATAACATGATGATGGTCTAACATCCAGTTTTTGTCCCAATCTCAACCACAGCCACGCAGCACTAAACAAGATAAAACCTAACTTCTTGACTCCAAATATTGTTGAGACATAACCAAGCTACACCAAATGATCAGGGGGTTAACAAGAAACTTGAACGTATAGTCATTTAAGATTCAAGGATTTAATCACGGATAAGCATTTTAAAGATTAGAACCATCCTCTGCAACTGTTATTCTGATAGGAATATGGTCAAACACAAATTGGAAGCCATGTTATACTGCCTATATACTTTATTTCTCTATCTCAGGTGTTCAATAACAACAATAATATGAAGGAAGAGTGCTTTCCAACCAAGCACCTAGTGGATAACTGCAAGCGTATCATTGGAACCAGTTGCATAAAAAGTATTGCATACATTTGAGAGAGGGTAAACACCATGCAGACCATTTAAACTCCACCAGCAACGCACTTAACTATCTTGAAAGCATGGTGAGCATAAGTTTTGTAAGGTAACCCAGGTGGTTGAAAGTAACCCCCATAAAAAAATAATATGATATACAACCTGTAGATCTAGTAAGCATACACCTAGTGTGTAAGTTTTATGAGTTCATGACATGCCCATTTAAGCAGAATCCAGTGCATAACAGATTGGTTTGGGCTGATAGCCATCTACATGTACACATTAAAAGAGTACATTCTCAAATTCAAAAAAAAAGGCTAAGACTGACAAAAACCGATAAAAATCTCATTTAGCACAAAGTCCTCCAAGCTCATATATCCAAACTCACCCATAGCGGCCTCTAGATCAGGCCTAGCCCAGGGTTTCAAATAGGTTCTCTGTATTATTATTCACATGGCAATACACAAGGAAAGATGTGAAGTAACAAAACTTACTTGCAATAGAAACATGTCTCTGGGCATCATTGTGTCTTCAGTGCAATGGCCAACACCTTCCAACTTAATAACCTCCAGCAACTAATAGCCAACAAAAACACATCTATAATAAAGAACCATATTTTGAAAAGTAGAACTCAATTTACAAAAAAAAAGTCACAAAAATAATGAACCAATGATAAATAGGAAAATGAGTTCAAATTACTTGCCTCTTCGTGCTCAATGCTGTGGGCCAGTGGAAGTATAACTTGACCTCCGATGTTCGGAACTCGGGACCCTGGAAAGCTACAGGGACCAACTTTAACAGCAGCAGCTGAGTAAGCATCAATACTGTTATCTGCCCATTCTGACCTGTGCTCACGCAAGAACCTAAGAAGTATTGCTGGAGGCACATTCTAGAAGAAGCAAAAGTGCAGATCAGGAAAGAGACAGATGAACAAAAATTAAGCCATCAACAAAGTGTGGAGATAATACAAATAAGAAGGATAAAAACTCAAAAGCTTGCCTTAATTGACCAGGAACAACGATCATTTTAAATGTACTTCACTTTTGTAGCAGTTACCATCATTAATACATTAATAAACAAATGCAAAAAAAAAAAAAAAACATTTGCATAACCCATGCACCCCCAATCCAAGGATAACTTGGCTGCAAATAAATGCAAAGCAATACTAACTGTGCCAAAAATATATAATGATATGTGCAGACTATATGCAGAGTTTGAAACTACTGCAAATCCACATCAAATACCTAAAGTAAGATGAGGTGCCAAGTAAGTTGCCTAGAGGATGCAATGCATGAACTATTGATGGATCAAGGCCATCTATATGCTCTCTCACCGGATTAGTAACACATGGGCCAATATGGCCTCTTTCCAGCAGTCCATAGGTGTATTTGCCCGGCCGCAAGACTAAGTATTATGGGCATATCTTCAGTAGTGACCAAGAACAATATAAAGAAGATGGAAAGTTACAAGTAGTGCATTATCAGTTATTTAACAGCATAAGATAAACTGAATACAAACTACACCAAGCTGAGGATAGAATAACTGTTTGATCCCTTTGGAAAACTTAAACATATGTTAGATAAAACTCTAGATAGCCTAACTTTATCTTCTATGTAGCTTTGGCCAAGCCATGCTCAAGCCTGATCCTGAATCAAAGCATGGTAATTCAGTAGTCAGCTTCAACATTCATTTGTTCTGCCAGAATCTGATAAATCTAATTTTATCGATGCACTCCCAACTGCACGAGACTAAATCAGAGTGCCATTTCACTAAACAAGCATCATATAAGGCTCAATATTAAGTTGCATTTGCGCTCTTAATAAGCGGCGACAACCAGACAGCATTTCTTATTTCAAGATATCCCCTATTATGCTTACTTGCAGAAGCATTGATGCTTTCGCACATAGGACTGCATTGCTGACGGAAGTAAATCCATTTGCAAAGGAAAGATTCAGTCCCATCAGTTTCTCAGGGGAAGAGTTCACAAGTATAGTAACATCATCCATGCCATCATTTGCCATCATTGACCAGCCCTCATCAGTAAATCCATTAAGAGCCTCATTGAAACCCCTGCCAAAAGTATATGTTGGAATCTACCCAATGAAGTACCACAAAAAAAATATATATATATAGAAAAATTGATATCAAACTAGTACACTATACAAACCTGCTCAACCTCTGGCTAAATGCTCGTAGAGTTGCTGGACGTCTGCCCCAGTTGGTGACATTTGAGTGGGAGACCTCCTGAGCTATCTGCCTTAATTGGCGTAGAGCCTGCATGAAACAAGGACATCTTTGAGCAATCCATAGTATTGACTCCTTTGTTTCTATTTACCCAAATGGATAAAAAAGTGGAAGGAATTCTTACTGTCATAGTTGTCTTTTGAGCAAGTACTGTCGAAGATTCATACAGTGGGCGCAACACTTCAGGCACACTCCATGCCTAGTCATTGATATGAAATGCCCACAATAACAGTAAATTATGGTATATGGCATATCTCAGATTAAATAGAGGAAGTAAATATCCAATACACAACCTAAGGCAACTGCCTTACCTCCAAATTCATATGATCAACAATGTGGATAATAGAGCCGCCCCCTTCACAAGGTCTAATAAGGTATCCACTAGGCAGCATTTCTGCTCTCACAAAATTCTGCACAGGTGGCATGCTTGGACCATTTTGGATATTGCTAAGTGATCTTTCACAGACCTGATCATGGAAACTAGATAAGTGGTTTTAAAGATAAGGAGAAACAGCTTAACAAATTACATATTTCATAACCTAAATAATCATATACCACTAGACTGCCATCCTCCATGACAGAAGTATAGCGTAGCAGCCAGAAGTCACGAGCCGGTGCCAAAGTTGTTGGCGCATACAGCTAAAGCATCAACAGATTTCTTAAGTCCTTTAAGCAATTATAAAAAAATATCAACGAATTGTAACAAATTCGTAAGACTAAATACCTACCTGCATGTACAGAAGTTCAATGGTTCCACCATTGGCAGTGGGCAGCACATTCAGCACATCCACGGCACGACAATCACGAAACCACGAAGGCCGATCCTTGAGGATTTCTACAACCTGTAAGAAACATAGCCATTCATAACCCCCCCACAACCACAGTAGCGGAAATGGATGAAACAAGAAGAAACCAAGAGAACTTACCCTTGTAGGCTCTAGACCCACGAGGCCACAGGCTCGTGCTGCCACACCTGTGCAACCATGAGAAATAGCAACGATTCCAATGGAATCCGGACCAGGCTACGGATAAGACAAAAAAAAGAAGACAAAAGAGTTTAACTTGGGTACCTATAATCAACTAACTGCCAATCAAAGTAGTTTTAACATAACCCAGCTAACATAGAAACTAGAGAAAAAAAATAAAATCTCCACATTTCAACATAGCATTAGGAAGCCTGGAAAAGATGACACGAAGGAGTGTCATGGATATTAATATTTAATATTGTATTATGCTAAGTCCGATAAGACCAGTTCTATTATTTTAACCTTCCATTATCTGATGACATTCTAAAATACAGACATTAGTAATCACGTATTGCATACATTTGCGTGTAAATATATATTATAAGTAACAGGGATACCTTCATTCCAGGCATTTGGACCCACTCAACAGCAGTTCCAGTGGCCTTTGAAAGAAACTCTGTTAAAGTCTCTTCTGCAATGGACAAAAGCCTGGAAAAAATACAAAAGCATACAAATTCCATAAGCCACGCACAAACACACATAACAAGGTATGTCACAAAGCACAATGACAAAGAAAAGGACCCAACAACCACAACCCCACTAACCCTGCAGGACTAGCATCTCTCGGCGGATGCTGAGGCGTCAAGTGGTGTTGACCGCTTGTCACCACTGACTCACAACTTGTGTCTTTGGTCGGAAGAGCCGTCTGCAATGGAAACAACTCTCTTATTTCTTAATAACCATACCTAATGAACTCAAATAATTAGATTTACATACAAAATCGAAATAACTTTGGACAATGATCCAAAGAGAGGAAAAAAAGACATGAAAAAATTCTTACATTCTGAGTATGCTGGCGAAAGTAGCCATTTTCATACACTAATTGTGACACCTGCTTCTGCAATCTATCATTCTCTTCCATTAGAAGCTTGTTCATAGCCGTCAGCTTCCTATTCACAGCTTGAAGGCGTGAAGCCTCTTTCCTCTGTTTCTCCCTGCATCTGTATACAAAGAGGCGCAGTGCACAAGACATTCTCAACATCATTAGTTACTATCAAGCAATATGAGCAAACAGCAAAGAGATTAATTTGTAGCCTCCTGATTTTTCATTAATCATAGCCCAAGAAAATTAAAACCCCCATTCAACTGAATCAAATATTACGAAAGACCCAATTTAACTGATCGAAAGACCAAAATTTTCACTATTTTCCCCTTCTCAGATTCACTTTTCTTGCCTGTTAAAGAAAGCGTTAGGGGTGTTAAACGCAAACCAAAAAAGTAACCATTGAAGACCAGGTGACTATACCGTCGGTTCTGAAACCAGACTTTGATTTGCTTGGGCTCGATATTGGAGAGGATAGGACATTCGCGAATGAGCTGTTGGCGGCGAATCGAACTGGGTTTGGGGCACTCATGATAGAGCCTCTCAAGGGCTTCAACCTGCTCAGGTGTGTAGCGGACATATTTGCCATTGTCCATCATCCCTCCCTTACCATCCTTGCAGGACATTGCCATCCTCACTTCACCCACTCAAAGGGACTTCTTTTGTGTTCGCAAAATAAAACTAGGATGCAACCGAGGTAGCTTATTTATTCCCTGCAATCCAAACTCTTGAGACCAGCACTAACCCCATCGATATCTCCAAACAGAATTAGTGCGTAACGAGAGTGAATGTCGCTAAATCCTCAGTATCTTGAATTCTTCAATGTTGTTAATAAAATAGATCATGAAATAGGAGGAATCGACAAAAGATAACCGAACCGAAACGAAGTTCCCTTTCCTTTTACTATCAATTTAAACAGGTTCAAACACTAGAGAATAATTAATAAATCTTTCGATTTCAGAGCTTCCAAACACCACCGAAGATCCAACTTTACTAAATCAATCCAAGCACGCACAATTTCTTTCTTGAAACACCAAACCGTCATTACATATCTGTCACGCGCGTTCCTATCCACAATACCGATTCCCGAGATTCGAAGCCTGTTCTTCTCTATCACTGACGCTATAAAAGCGACCGATTAGCAACGAAGTCCCGCAAGAACTACAGTACCGACACTGTTAGAACTTCGAAACATTTACCGCAGGATCGGAGCTTCCAAGTCTCACACTTCGGAAATCAAACCGAACGTCCACACCAAACACCGCCGATCTTCACCCTCCTCCTGAAGATTCCTTCTTCTGCTACTTCTCTCGAATCTTCCAAACATCTTCTAGGGTTTCACACGCAACATCCAGCAAAAACTCCTATACATATATCTACAAGCACATATATAAATATAAAGATATAGAGAGAGAGTAGTTGGTGTGAATGGGAGGTCATAGAGATGGTGATTCTCTGAGAGTGCGGATCTTGGTGAATAAATTGGAGAGAGAGAGAGCAATAAAAGCAACAGGAAAACCCTAAATTTCTGAGATGAAAGAAAAGTGAGTGGGTTTTTACTTGTGGATGGATTGGTTTGGTTCATAAGAAAGGTGATTGTTTTGTTGGCTCAATGGGATATATGCTGGCTGTGGCTTTTCATTGGTTCGTCACTTTCTGCTTTACTGTGCTCTGCAGCAACACTGGCATTGGAATATATTTTTGAATCCAACAGTGACATGACCAAACTGTCCATGGTTCTCTACCAGATAAAAAAAAAAATGCCCTAGAATTTCATCTAATTGGCAAAACTTGCAGATTTATACCCCCCAAAGCCCAAAATCAAATACCTCACCAACATTGACTTAAATATTGGAAGTAAAGGTGACACCACATTATTATTATTATATGGTATCATCATTTAATAATAAATTTATAAATGAATAATTTGAACTTCCACTTGATAGTTATTTTCTTACATGAACATACTATTTTTTAAATTAAATTATGTGTAGGTCTGTTAATCGTGTCGAATAAAACGGGTTCGTGTTGGGTCTAAAAGGATTAGTGTCAAAAAATATTTTACTTGTGCCCGATTTTTATATTAATTTGTGTCTAATGTGTCGTATCATATTGAGTTCGTGTCATATATTAATTATGTATAATTAATATATAAATAAATCGTATCATATATTTCTTTTAATTGAATTTCACTCGTACCTGATTCGTTTATTAATCGTGTTATGTTAGGTACACCTATTTACGAAATGAGTGATTTAAAGAAGACTCTAACTCTCTTACTTCGTGTCATGTTAACAAATTATATTATTTTTTACTACCCCCAATTATATATTTATTTGATATTCGCTAGTAACACCACTTATTAATAGTGACATGTTATCACTCGGTTACATTCAATATTTTTTCCAAACTCCACCACTGGTCCTCGTCGTGCTCTAGCCACTTCAGCTACAAGTCGCGGTCTACTTTGTCCTTGAATTGGGAAACACCATGACTCATGCATTAGAATGTTGTTTGCAATAATACAATTTTGGGTAAGTTTGTTTGGAATAATTTGGACAAGTTAATTCAACAATGATTCAAATCAAATAAAAATTTTATTCCATGCATAGATAGCAATTTTTAAATAACCAAATTGTCTTCGAGAAATCAATTGGGGGGCCTAGCCTTGTGCATCACTGTTGATTATTTCAAGATTCTATCAATCAAAATAGTAAGTTGTCAATTTTTGTTATATAGATAGCTCTTGATTTTTTATGTTCCCCTCATTGAGTTGTATTATGTCATTTGCAAAATTCTCTTAACTCAGTTTTTATGTTTGTTTCTTTATTTGTTATGTATAAAGTGTTCGAAGTTACAGTAGTTAATTTTTCATTAAATCTATCAAGAAAGAAGGTTCACAGGACATTTGACGTTAACATTCTTCAATTTGAAAATATTATTCACAGTTTCGATAATAACGAGAATATGTTTAACGACGAAAACATACAAAAAAAATAAAACTTTCTTAGATTTAGGGCGATAAGGCACACCACTAATACAAGAAGAAGTAACCCTCACATTAATAGTAATGCATTGAGATATATCAGGAAAAAAATTGTCATGTAAAGAAAATCTCAATCCTTTATAAGAATTCTTAAGTTGGAGTCTCAAAATTTTTGGGATCCAATGTAATAAACCCATCTAAATTTACTAAGTTGGCTTCTTCTTGTACTAAAAACCAAGTTGTGTATGCTAAGTTTAGCCTAGGAAAGAGGAAATTTTGAAAGCATTTTATTTTTCTTACTTAAGTGAAAGCATGTTGGACTTGGGAGTTAAGGGGGTGAAGGTGCAATTCCACAAAAAGAAAGTGAGGAATGGGAAAGGTTTTGAATTACTTAAACAGGAGGGGCAATACAGGAATACAAAGCGCGAATCAGAAGCTTCAAATAAAGACAGGAAAGGCGAAGGAAGGTTTTGCGTGGGTCATAGAGGACAGAATGATGAGGGCTTTGCATGCGCCTCGATTCTTCTAGCCTATTTATTACTACTTTTTTATTATCTCAATTTTTTACTTAGATATGTTGTTGATCTGTCAATCGTCTCCGACAAAAACAAGTTTATGTAGTGTTTTTGTAAATTCGTATTAAAAAATATTGTATTTATATAAAAATTATTTATTAATTTATGTTTAATAAATTATGTCATATTGAATTTGCATTATGTATAGTTAATATTTTTTTTTTCTTTCGATTCAATAGTCAGAAATGTTCAAATCAGTTTAAGCGCACATCGATTAATTTCCTTTTCGATCTAATCAAAAGCAGGTTATCCATGTCAAGACTAAAATATTCATTAAAGATAAATTTCTTATAACTTAATCCCAAAAAATTGCTAAAATTCAAATTCAAGATGACTGAATTTAGAATTCGTCTTTATTATCACTTGTATTATCTTTTAAAATTATATAATTAAATATATAAATAACCCGTATTGTGTATAATTTTTAATTAATTTTACATAAATTTTAATTTATTTATTAATTATGTTGTAGTTTGAGTTCATGTGGTGTTAATTTATCGTGCCTTTCGTGAAGAAGCTCACATCATCGTCATCATCACACTGCTATCATCCGTATGCCTACGGCATAACATACTCGCATACATGAGATGACAGAAGGTATATGACATGACATTGTGACAAGGGATAGTAGGTAGTGATATTTATTAATATATGTGGGGACATCTGACTGGTTGGCCGTTCAGTTGGTTGAGACCTAGCCGTACAATTTTTTTCACAAAAACGAATTTTAATTATTTTTCGAAATAAGATTATAATATTAAAAAAATATCAATACTAAAAAAATAGTTCATTCTCGTAATCTTTTTTAGCTTATTATTGAATAAAAAGTAATAAAATATAAAAATATAAAATATAAATTTTTTATACATATTATATTTTTATAAGATCAAAAAATATATATTTGTCAATACCTATTTTCAACTATTTTTATTTTATAATCGAGTATTACATGAATTTTTAATAAATTTTATTAATTTAATGGTATGGCATTAAAAAAAAATTGATACCATAGATAAACGCATTAAGGTATGATATTTTTCAACATCGTTGATAAGAGTGACAATCTTGTATTATGTACGCAGTCAGCATGCCTATTGTACTAAACATCATGTACGGTTACATGTCATGTGCATGCATTTACTGCGGGTGGGACTGTACAAATGTGGCATGGTACTACATACCATACGATTGACATACGGTTGTTAAGGCACACTGATTTTGGACAGTAAGGAGATCTCAGTGGGAGACACGACAGGCATGACCCGACAACGAAATCTGTGGGGCCCACAGTCACGATATGCCAAACAGACCTATTGCTGAGCTGGACAACGACGTGGCAAATGCTGTAAATCGTGGTTATCAAGATAAAGCTTTGTCATTTGAGTAATCGATAGACTTAAAAATTAGATTTATAAATTAGATTTAATAATTTTTATCATTAAATAGGTAATGGATTCTAGTAAATATTGGGACCTACACTGAAATTAATGGTTAAAATTATTAAATTTAATTTTTAAGTGTATTTTTTAAGTTTATGTATCATTGTTCTTATCCTTTTAAATAAATCGAATTTTTTACTCCTAAAATATCGCCTAATTCTTACTTTAACCACTAATATTTTTTTATTTTTACAGTTTCAGCGTCAACATATGAGAATTCTAATTAATACTTAGGGTGTGTTTAAATTAAGTATTAGGATGTATTTGATTGAACAACCTCATCTATTCTACTATTCACTTGGAGAAAAAAGATAATCTAAGTTGATTCTAGAACATGAACATATATTGAACTTAAATCAACACGAGTGTTTCACACTGTATTTTTAAGACAAATTTTGTCCTTACATTGGTGCTTATGAATTTTTTTGAATGTTTGTCTCTTAGAATATAATGATTGAACACATACGTAAGTAACACTATAATCTGAGTGTCTGACGAGTTAATTGAAATTGTGTTTTGTACTCTCTAAAATGAATACTCGGTGGATTATAATTTGTAATGACTGTTGTAATGACAGAATATTCAAGTACTAATGTAGAATTAATTTAGACACATTTATAGATGCAAAGGTGAGTCTTCTAAATAGCCACCACTGATCAGATGCAACCCAGAAACACACAAGAGGTGTCCATGCAGGAAAAAGTCAAGAAAATTAAATTCGAACTAATGGAAAATTGGAATCCAAACTGATGCGCAATTTGAATTCTAATGGACAAAAAATTAAAATCAGGTAAGAAATTAAAGATCAACACTTATACCCGTACTGAGATTGGTCCAGCGTGTATGGTCGAATCCAAGCTCATCTAAATCCTCTCCTGCCCAAAAAAGTGGGGTGTCCCTTAAGGTCCAACTCCTAGAGCAAACTAAGAGTATATATGCTCATTAAAGATTGTTTTCCCAATCAATGTAGAATTGGTGTTAAATCCTACATGCTTTAAACTCTATTTCCACATTCAATGTGGGTCACCTAAGAGTGTATTTTCTTGTTCACCTTTTACTTGATTTAGGTGAGTCAATATATTATGTTAATCAACTTGCGAAAGTCCATACTTGAGGGGTTATTTTAGTCTCTCAGCTTTGCAATATGTATCCCTTTGATACCTCTCAAGTGTAGACATGTAAGATGCCCATGACCACTGTTTTTGTTCAATTTAAATAAGCGTTTTCAATTAAATAAAAAAT